GAAAGAGAAATAAAGTAGATATTAAAAATGTATATTTTGCGAAAGAAATGAATGCAAATTTGATTAGTTATGGAAAATTAATGAATAAAAATAAAATTGTATCTTWTGGAAATGTAACAAAAATATTTAATGAAAATAATGAATTAACAGCAGTCGCATTTAGAGAGAATGATACACTTAAATTTAATAGTGAATTAGAAAATTATTGTAAACTAGGTATAAACTCAACTAACTATGCAAACAGAAATGGCATGAGCCAGAAAGAAARGTGGCATAGAATATTAGGACATGTAAACTTCAAATATTTGAATATATTATGTAAACAGAAGTTGTTAACGGGCATTCCTAATGAACTTGAAACCGAGTTTATGAAATGTAAGACATGTATTGATAATAAAAGAGAGTTAGTAAAATCACCGGTACATATAATGGTTAACCTTCATATAAATTCCCTCCTGTTTTCCTTAACACTTTTTAACAATAAATATATATTATTAAACAATTAAAGGTAAGAAACAGCACCGATTTTGAAAATTTTTTTTCACACGTCCGTCATTTTGTTTTTATTTGAAAAAAATTTACATATTGTTGGTATCATGTCTATAATTAAGCCTAAAGAATAATAAGTATTTTTAGTTTTTTTGTTTCAGACGTCTAAAAAGGCTCTGTGCTTCCGCAAATTAAATTGGGGGACTCTAATTTGACGTTTAAAAAAAAGGGACAAATATTGTCCAAATTAGGATAAAAAATTTTTTTTGTATAGTTTAAGATACTGATAGAAACATATTAAAATTTCAAAACGATCGCATTTTGTTTTCCTATTCAAAAAAATTCATGAAAAAGCATTAAAATTTCGGTCTTCACAGGGGGGTACTACATTAATTCCATGAACCTTAATATTAGCTAGGATAATATACTGTTTGATATCAGATTTTATAAATATAACTATTAACATATTCAATAAATTACTAAGCTCGCGAGTGCTGTCTAGACGATTAAAGATTAAAATAAACAAAACGATCATCCTACGGGTAGTACTTTATAGCAGCGAAACGTGGTCACTGACATTACAGGACGAAAAGAAATTTAAGATATCCGAAAATAAAGTTCTTCGTAAAATCTTCGATGCAAAACGCGATAAGGAAACGGGCAAATGGAGAAAACTTCATAATGTAGAAGTACACCGACTGTACAACAAACCGGACATTATTAACGTTGTAAAATCACGCCGATTAAAATGGGTTAGTCACGTGGTGCGCATGGGGGAGGATCGTATGGCGTATAAAATACTGGTCGGTATACCGAAACAGAAAAAAACCACTGAGTAAACCGAGACGTAAATGGGGGGACAGTATTAGAAGAGATCTTAAAGAAATGGGCTACGAAGATCGTGAATGAAGGGGTCGTGTTCAGGGACGGGAAAATTGGCGGGATTTAGTATTTGCTGCAATGAATTTTTTACTTCCTATAACGCCAATAAATAATAATAATAATAATAATAACAATCTATTAACATATTAGAATATACTTGATTATAACAAGCTAATATGAAAAGCAATATTTAATTTATAATTGTAACCAAATATTTTAACATGGAATATTAATTTTTATATAGGAACATGCTAAACAACATGAAGTTAACATGAAAGTTGACAGAGAAATGTCTTGCGGCATCTGTTTGGAAAACGTAATGGATAAGCTATTTCCTGTCTTTGGTATTTTGCAAAACTGTAATCATTGTTTTTGTTTAAACTGCATTAACAAATGGAGAATAAATCAAAAATTTGCTATTGAAATAAGAGAAGGTTGTCCAGAATGCCGTATCATTTCTAATTCTGTATACCCTTGTATGTATTGGATTGATACAAAAGAAAAAAAAGAAAAGTATATAAAGGGTTATGAAAATAAATTATTATTTTATTCAAAGTAAGTAAGGTAAAAAAATATATTTTATATTATTTTTTTCTTACCAAATATAAATAATAAAATTCTGTTATTGCAGTATAAGGCGTTGCAAATTCTTCAACAAACGTCATGAAAATTATCGATTTGGTAAACGACGCAATTCACGATATAAGATTCATTGGTCTATCTAATCGTCAACGTCGTAATTCTTATAGCGATTCTGATATTATAGAAATAAGTATAATTTATTATGTAATATATAACCCATTAAATAATTTTTACAAATATACTTGTTATGAATAAAATGTAGTGATTATTTTCTACTTAAATTGTATTTTTCTTAAATAAACAAAACATATTCTCATATATATTCAAAATATATTATCTTTCTATTAATACATGAAGTTTTAAGAACATTACTTATTTTAAAAATTAAAATGTTTTTATCTATACATTTATGCATAAACGTATGTACATAATTACATACAGAAGTTCATTTTAAAAGAAAATATATGTTCCAAAAGTGATAAGAAGTTTTTAATAATACAGTTCTACTTGTTGTGATCATTTTGTTATCGTCGAGTCTACCTGATACAGAAGATTTTAATTTACAAGGTAAAAATTTGACTTTTGCTTTCGTGTGAAATAATATTTTGTATTCAAATCAGTGAAATATTAATTCATGATATTCGTTAAATCAATACGAGCACGGTTAATGTAAAGTATTAATCTCGACTACAAATTTCTACAATTTCATCGAAAACAATGGTGTATTTATGTGATACGAACGTGAAATAGAATATTGTGAAATATACAATATATCTGATCGGTAGGAAAATTTTCGACAAACGAGCTTCGTAAAATTTGGTTTAATTGTTTTTATAAAAATAACAAATGAAATCCGATTAATACGTTAATTATTATTTTCCTTCAGAATAAGTAAGCTCATTGAAGCAGGAATATGAAGTCATCAAAAGATATAAAACCAAAATATAAGTGGAATATTGTATGGAGAAACGTAATAAATTTTCTTTATCTTCACATAAGCAGCCTTTATGGATTATATTTAAGTTTAACCGCACTAAAATTCTATACTACAATATTCAGTAAGTTATCGCAATTATTAATTGCAATTATTAATTGCAATTACCAATTGTACGATGTCATATATAATAGATTTATTCTATTATCATTGGCAGCGATATATTGCAATTTTCATTTATAGTAACAAAACGATACATAAGTTAAATTGTATGACAAAAAAAGAACAATAAATAATATTCTATACTTAATTTTTCAGTGATTATTACAATTCCAATAACAACCCTCGGTATTACTGCAGGTGCTCATAGATTATGGGCACATAAATCTTACAAAGCTAAATGGCCGATGAGAGTAATACTAATGATTTGCCAAACTATGGCATTTCAAGTACGTTCATTCACTTTTATTACATTTTTAAATATAAATATAAATAATCGTGTAAAACTTGTGTTCATTTCATTCCGTTGAATCAAAAAACACATTATTTGTAATAAGAAAATACTTATACATAACAATAAATATTATATACCGATTTTAAATAAAAATATGAACTACAAATTATAAACAAAGTAATAACAATCTAAATTAAATCAATTATTTTATTTGATTGAAAAATAACTTTCAATACAAAGGCATTAAATTATTACTTATGAAATGCTAATCGAAAAAGAAAATGACACTTGCACTAGAGATCGAAGGTTATGCAATATTGCGAACAAGTAAATGCAATTGTTAATATTGCAGAATCACATTTACGAATGGGTCAGAGATCATCGGGTCCATCACAAGTTCACTGATACGGATGCCGATCCTCATAACTCGCAAAGAGGATTTTTCTTCTCTCACATTGGTTGGCTAATGTTAAAAAAGCATCCCGATGTTATAAAAAAAGGTGCTACGGTAGATATGAGCGATCTCGAGAAAGATCCGGTGGTCGTATGGCAACGCAGGTAAATATCAATTACTTTCGGATATATTGAAATATTTCTTTTTTTTTTAATATTAAATAATCGATACAATTTGTTCTTTTTTTTTTTATTTCTAGACTTTATATCATTCTTATGCCGCTATTTTGTTTCATCATTCCTACGTGGATACCTATATATTTCTGGAATGAGCGTCCGATGTACTCATGGTACCTTACGATTTTTAGATATACCTTATCTTTAAACATTACCTGGCTAGTAAATTCGGCTGCACATATTTGGGGTACAAAACCGTATGATAGGTATGTGAACGTTATTTTGGTTTTTATTACAATATTAATTAAACTACGCTTACGCGATAATATTAACTATTATATTATTATAATTAAAACAAAAAGAAACAAAAGTGATGCGAAATATATTAAAATAAAACTATTTGAGTATCTTAATAACTTGCGTATCACTCTAAAAAATATTTAATAAAATAATATTTATCATTTTTTCTTTTTTGCTAGTACGATTTCTCCAACAGACAGTTATTCGGTTGGTATTGCTGCATTCGGTGAAGGTTGGCATAATTATCATCACGTATTTCCGTGGGATTACAAAGCTGCTGAGTTAGGAAATTACAAAGTAAACTTTACAACGGCAATTATCGATGGTTTTGCTAAAATTGGTTGGGCTTATGATCTCAAGACAGTCTCACATGAAATGATTGAAAAGCGTGCATGTAGAACGGGAGATGGTACAAAGTATCAAAATGTCAAAGATCAACACGAGCACAATCATAATAATTCTATTTGGGGTTGGGATGATCCAGATATCAATACTGAAGATGTTCAAAGCGCAAGGATAATTAATAAGGCCGAATAAGACGAACCGACGGTCGAAATAAAAAATCATGACGGTGCCTTTTGATATATATGATATATATGATAACAATATTATAATAAATAAATTCTGCAATTATCTTACTCTTGATACTTTGCACTCGTCTCATTCTCTCGAAATTTAGTTTTTTTAAGGTTTCCTGAGTTTTTTCAGATCTCATCTTTGTGCGGTGCGTTGGAGAACATATACATAAACATACACATGATTTTAAGTCATGAATCGTTCTCCAATAAAATTATAAACAACTTTCTAATCTTTTATTATTTTTACGACGATCATTAAATGTCTAACATTGATTAATTTCAATTTTTAAATATTTACTTTTCACATAAGATACTAAATATTATTCTAAAAATATGCATTAAATAATTATAAAATTAAAATTACATTTGTATAATTATTTATTAAAATATTACGCCTGTAGGTATGCAACCCCCCCCAGACACCATTGAAAATGTTGCTTGCAAGCGTCATCTGTTGGGACGGAATTTTTTTTCAGTCCAAACTGTTTATACACTCATGTTTTACAGGTTGCTTATCTTTCAGGAAGAAAAAATTCCGTTCCAACAAATGGCGTTCGCAAGCAACATTTTCAAAGTGTGTCTGGAGATTTGCATCCTTATAGGCGCGCATTTTTATAATTATTAAATAAATAATTAGAAAAAAATACAAAGTAATATTATAATAATATTATATAATAAATTATCCTACACCTGATAACTATGAACTCGTCTCATTCTGTCGAAACTTGATTTATTAAAGGTTTCACTTCTAACTTGTGTGATCTGCACACACGTATTTTTCTTCTCTCTGTTTTTTAGTTTTGCATAAATCATAAGAAATTGGTTTTTATGTATCAAAGTATGAAATTGAAACATTCATATCTATGCATGTATGCATAAAAACATATGTGAATAATGACAGATTAAAGGTTATATTAAAAAAATATTATACTTTTAAATATCGATTAGGTATGCAGATATACACATTGTTTTTCTTGTTTTTTACAAATCATACTTATTTTTTGGATAAACTATTACCCACGCTTACATATTGTTGGTAGAATTTGCACATATTCAAAAGTATTTTTTTTATTTTAACATTATTACGTTATAGAAAAAGTGATCCGAATCAAAGTGACCAAAAAGGAGAAATAAGGACTTTGATAAATAAAAAAAATATAAGTTATTTGATAAATAATATATATATATATATATATATATATATATATATATATATTATTTCAATTAATATAATATATACGTAATAAATTTCTAAGAATCAAACCGTAAGACCAATTAACTTTAATAAGCAAGAAATATTATCAAATTGCGCATAAATTGTAATAAATAATTTAAACTTAAGAGTTTTTATGCATACATTTTTTAAATTAACTATTACAAACAGAACAAAAATAAAACATATTTAATTACCAGTCATAAGAACAGTATTTTTTTCAAATCACATTAAAACAATTTCTATTATCAAGGAGATCTAGTATTTACTACGTAACTAGTTTTTATAATTTGACCAGTTTTTGTCTATCGATTATGGTAATTCGTTCAATTGTCTTTATGATATATATTTAGATATTCACTGATGTGAAATTGTATATTACGATATTCTTTATACATATAAATTGCAAGTAATATAACTATATTATTATAATAACTATATATAAGTTATTCATAAGTCTACTTCTTAATTAAATATGTAATTGTTAATATATCTGCAACTTTACCATGTTATTTAAATCAATATTTCAATAAAATTGTAACGACAAATATTTATATTGATAAGAATGCTTGAATAAATAATTCACACAGTCGCCTCTTTTATGAATATTAAAGTTATACTAAATGATAACGTTTTTAAGCCTTCTTTTAATTCAGTTCTGACTAATACATTTAAGTGATGCATAAATTCGAATGCTAGTCGCGTCTTGAATTGAGAACGAATTTCGTCATAAGTTCCTACTCGGTATTAAATTAAATTGACTAAACGTGCGTAAGAAATATACTTACTTATGCAATTTTTTTTTCTTTTCGCTGAAAATTCTTCGGTGTTTTACAAAAAAGTAATGCAAGTACAGGGACAGAGGATATAAATATAAAAAATAAAAAAAAATACTTAAAGAAAAAGTAATTAATTCAAATAGTGATAGCGTTCGATATTATTTTGTTTAAAATTATCACGTTACTGATGGTCAAAGGTTGAGTAAGAAAAGTAAAAGTTCTGCTCATACACAGTTTTACTATTCGATCAGTTAATAAATGTTCTTCAATGGGTGAATACCAACTACTAGTATATGTTCAATGAGTGAGTAGAAATTAGTATTTTCTATTTGCGCCTGCGTTGAGAAAAGAGAGAATATATATCGCGTTGTTTCATAAGATGTAAGAGACAGTAGTTAAAGAAACGATAACAACACAAGTGAATGTATTTGTCTATTCGAGTGAAAGTTATATAGTATAACTGGCCACGGTAGAGAACAATCAGCAAATAAACGCGTGTCACGATAAGCCTTAATTCTACGTTATTGTTATTGCTTTTATCGTAGCTAGTACATTTTTCTTATCTTTTATTAAATAAAAATGCTAGATATGAAAGCAATATTGCAAGGTTTCATTGAGAAGTAAGATTAAGTTAAGCTTAGTGTATTTACGATCGTGCGGAAATTAAAAGTGTAAGGATTTTAACTCTCATATAAATATATAGAATTGAATGAACGTAATAGTAATCAGAATTTTGTGAAATAAAATTACATAGGGCGCTTGAGTGTTAGATCTTGTTAAAAACATCGATTAAGAAATAATTAGAATAATCGAAATGATTCTTAGAATAATGTTTTATAAAATGTAAAGATAAAGTGAAAAACGATTAAGAATCATATTTTTTGTCCGAAAATTAAATTTGTTTAAAGTGACGTTAAATAAAATTTTTGTATTCTTTGATGATCGATATATTCATATTTTTTTGTTCAATTGTCAGAATTTTATTGTAAATCAAAATAAATATTAAATTAAGATTATAAAGCAACACGTGCAGCATACTGTACACTTAAACGAGTTATCTCCGGTCATTATTCTATTTAGTTTTTCTTTTTGGTTTTTTTTTTCAATATGCTTTGACTTATCTCGTCGGCAAGATAATTTAGTAGCGTTATAAATATTTTTAATTAACTGATAATCAATGATAATCAACATCGAGAGAAACGCGATTGTATGATATTCGAATCAAAATAACTAAATATGTATATTAATATTTTATATAACATTCTTTTTTATATTTAACAATTGGATAGACAGATTCACTAAATAATTTGATTATATATAATTTCAAATATAGGTAAATAATAATTTACGATAAAGAAGAGGGGATACTAAACCTGGTTTAGCGAAGAAAATATTATAAAAATAAATTTAAAGGAAGAACAAAAATTGTCGATATTACCGACCGAGGCAGATGCAACTTTGATGGGTTACAAGTTAACAATGGGATCAACAGGTGGCGTTGGAAGTAGTAGCGGCGCAGTAACATCGTTGCAACACCGTGGCGATAGGGGTGCTGCATTTCTCTGTCTTACTTGTGGCATTTGTTTTATTCTAAGCGTGACCTGTACTTTTCTCGGCACTATCGTCGTCTTTCTTGATCATAACGTAGAGGCTGCAAGCTATCGAAACGGTAAGAGACAATTTAACGTTCATCTAAAAATAATTAAAAGTACCCTATGAGGAACCGTGAAAACAGCATTTATCACTGATCACGTGGATCTGACGTATTAGCGCGATATTTAAATATTCTTAGGATAAATTTGAATTCAAAATAATAAACTTCGTAAACAAAAGGACCAATCAAAACGAATTCTATTTTACGATAACTCCCAAAATTCTGCGATTTAAATGTTTGTATGAAATTCGATAAATTTTCAATTGAACCATATTAAATGATAAAAGATAATAAACGCGTAAAATTAGAACTTATCGAAAAATCTTCAAACGAAATAAATATAATGGAATGATGGGACTTTATTTCAAAGTCTGACTGGATATTTGTTTTATTGATAGGAATTTATTCGATGACTATCAATTTCGATTTTTCTCTTTTAACAGATTATTATTTCAAAAATAAGTTTTGCTTTTTTTTCATAAATCGGAATAAATTCTACGTAATCGTTATGCAGGGTATCCCATATAACTCTTTTCACGATTTTTTAAGTACTTGCAATAACTTGATAAAAAAATACTTTAAACAAAAATTGATCTGTTTTTGATTGACTTGTGATAAAAAGAAGTTTGAAACAATTTTTTTTTTTTTAATATTTACCAAGGCTACCTTTATTTTTTTAATTAGCACCCTTTATTTTAAAGTCATCCAAAGATCATGGTACACTAGTTCGTTAAATTCATTGGGAACTGGACTTATGTGGGACAACCTGTATAATTGATTACAATAATTATCTTTATTTACAGTTCCAATTACCAATATGAACCAGGACGATTACAATTTTAGACTACCGAAGGAAGTCAAACCTATTCATTATGATATTTATTTATATCCCGATCTTACCAATGGTACTTTCATGGGTAAAGTTACGATCCTAATAGATGTCCTGGACAAAAGGGGTCAAATAGCTCTTCATCAAAAAGATCTCAATGTTACTCATATAGAATTGAAAACTTACGATCGCGAAGAGAATTATGAAATCGAATTGTTACCTTCATTTTCGGTTGAGAAATACGAGATGCTTGTTATTCCAATAAAAAAAGAAATCAATTCGGGACTTTATAATCTATCTATCGAATTTAATGGAGCTTTAGAGCCGGACAAAATAGTCGGCTTCTATTCAAGCAAATACAAGGACGAGAAGAATAGAACCAGGTAACAAAAAACAACATCTTAAATATGAATTTAATAATTTAACGATTGATCGCGAATAATGTACTGATGACATTTTTGTTTTCTTAGACACATAGCTACTTCCAAATTTGAACCAACTTATGCGAGAAGAGCGTTTCCTTGTTTCGACGAGCCTTCG